CCCATGTAGTCGACCGCAGTTCGAGTCCTGGACCCGGTGGCTTAAACTCATGCCAGACGCATGTGCGTGCATGCCCAAGATCCTGAGAGGAGAATGGGGGAGAAGGGATTGCGGCGTGGCCATCCCACCTGGGGGGTGATTTCTTGTTTTCTGTCTCTCTGTTTCTGTCTTCTGGCAAGCAACGTGCTGTATAACAACAACAAAAAAAAAACACAAACAAACAAACAAACAAAAAACACGTGGATAAAACAGAAACTCTGGTCCTCAGAAAGCTCGTATCTAGCAGGCAGAGACAAGCAGTAAATGTAAGATTTTATATAGGATGTGAAACGGAGGGGAAAGCGAGCCAGACAGGGAAGTGGTGGAGGTGGCCAGGGGCAGGGCTGACAGGGGGAGGGCCCAATGTTTGGAAAGGGTGGTGGGGTGGGCCTCACCGAGCTGAGACTTGGAAAAGACTTGAGGGGGTTGGGGGTGATCCAGAAGATGTCCGGAAGGAGGGGTCCAGGCAGGGGCACGGCAGTGCGAAGGCCCTGAGGCAGGCTGTGCTGGGAACACTGGAGGCTCGCGTGAGGAGAGCCCCGCGGGGAATGGAGGCCACCTCACATCGCAGAGGCCCGGCCAATGGTGGTCTGGCTTTGACTCTCAGGAGGGCTTTGGCAGAAGAATGCTAAGATCTGACTTACTTCCTACAGGGCTCATCCGGGTGCTCGATTAAGAAAAGACAGGGGCCAGTTTCACACCACAGCAGCGATGTGCTGTCAGAGAGGCAGATCCCACATGGAGACCGTGGTTCGAATCCCCAGCCTGGTCAGCCTGTAACATGTCAGGCATGCGCACAGGTGCCCCAAGATCTGATCGGCTGTAGGAGGGCAGGCACGGCACGGCGGGGCCCTGCAGCGCGTGTCCCCAACTTCCACGTGAGCATGTGCTCTATTCCGAATAAAGACGAGATTGAACAGGCGAGGTTGTTAGGAACTACTGCCGTGGCTGAGGTGAGAGGGGCCTCGGACAGCCTGGGCGACACGGAGGTGGGGACCAATGACTGGGGTCCACACGGATTTCGACGGCACAGCCGGCAGGATTTTCTGAGGGACTGGAGAGGAGGACTAAGAGCAGAGACGAGGCTGGAGACCTTGATCTGAGGAACCAGGAGGAGACTTCACTGAGCCAAGAAGGGAAGGGCTACAGGTGAAGTCCGTTCGGTGGCGACGCCTGCTAGCCGTCCACGCAGAGGAGCTGAACAGGAGCTGTGGGTGCTAGACCTCGGCCGTTCGCCCAGCCCAGGGCCTGGTGGCGCAGTGGCAGATCCCACATGGCCGACTATGCGGTTTAAGAACCGGACCTGTGTGTGCACGCCCGAAATCCCGATGGGAGGGAGAGAGAGAGAAAGGAGAAGAGATTGTGAAGGGACTAGGCCCCGTGGAGGTGTTCTCTCACTCTCTCTCTCTTTCTCTCTGTCTCTCTCCAACAAGTGCATGTGTCCTCTGAAGAATTCTTAAAAAGAAAGAAAACAAACAAAAGAAACCTGACGCTCACGGAGAGACAACTGGGAAGCAGTCAGCATAGAAGGGCATAGAAAGGCCTGGGCACCGCGCCCCGGAAACAGCCAAGGAGGCAAGGGCGGGGGCACTGGGACAGGAGAAAAGCCGGCGTGGTAGCAAGGAGGGAGTGGCATTTCCGGGGGCAGCTGGGTAAGCGCGTGTGCCCATCACCTGCCGGCTGGAGGGAGGGGGTCCCGGCGTGATCTCTCATTTCTCTACCTCCTGCTCTCTCTCATGTGCACCACGAACTCCATCAAGAATAAAGAAAAAAAAAATGATTAAAAATAAAATAAGGGACCAGCAGTTGGCGTAATGGCTATGTCACTGGACTCCCATGTCATTGACTGTAGTTCGAGTCCCGGACCCGGTGGCTTAAACTCAACGCTGGGTGCGTGTGTGTGTGTGTACCTGAGATCCCGAGAGGAGAATGGAGGAGAAGGGATTGTGGCATGGCCATCCTCCCGGGGGGTGATTTCTCGCTTTCTGCCTCTATGTTCTATGTCTCTCTGTCTTTCTGGGGAGTGCACGTGCCCTATAGCAAAAACCTCTCCCCACACACACACACACACACACACACACACACGACAGGAGGTCTCTGGCACAATCACCTTGAGCAGACAAGAGGATGGAATTCGGTGTGCAAGGGCGGCTGGCCTCAGCTGGGCCACCGCAGGGAAGCCGAGCCCCTGCAGGAAGGTGGGAAGTGAGGAGTGGGACTCTGGGGAGTGCTGGTTGCTTCCATTTTCTCGGGGGAGTGGGAGGGACACGCTACGAGATGGGTGCTTGAGCTGGGCAGAAAGTAGGGGGAAAGAGGGCGAGCGGGTGGACAGAGCTGCACGTAGTTCCTGTGGAGGAAGCGCCCACGCCCTCGGCGGCGAGCGCTCGGGGAGATTTTTCTGGAGGGAGAAGTCGGGCTCAGCCTCCTCGCCTACGCTGGCCTCAGCACACTGACAGCACATGCCGTGGCCATGAGAGAGACTGTCTCTCCTTGTGAGATTACTCCGCCCCAAGCCTTTCCTCAGACTCTCATCACCTGGACTCCTGCGGGAGCCTCCTCCTGAGCTCTGCCTCTCCACGTGCCCCGTCTCACCTCCTCTACCACGTGGCCAACAAACTTAAAAGGCACAGATAGCGTATCCAAAGGAAGAGGATAAAGGGCCAGCAGGTGGCCTAGTAGTCGAGGCACTAGACTCCCACATGGCCAGCTGCAGTTCAAATCCTGGACCCAGCAGCTTGAAACTCTTGCCAGGTATGTGTGCATGCCCAAAATCCCAGGAGGAGGATGGAGGAGGGATTGCTGCATGGCCATCTCCCCGGGGGGCGATTTCTCACTTTCCCTCTCACTTTCTGTCTCTCTGGTGTGTGCATGCACCCTCTGGCAAAAACCTCAAAACAAAAGCAAAGCAAAGGAAGGGGATGATAAATGACAACACAGGAGAACTAAACACGGAACAGGGTGGGGAGTGGGACCAGGGACCCTTCGCTCACGGAACAGCAGCTCAGAGGTACCGCAGACCTCAAATACCTAAGAGCTGCACGTGCCTGAGGGAGCACCAGGCAGGTGGGAGGGCGTGACACAGTGTGGGCCTTGCTCCCCCACAAGCTGCAGCTGCCCTCTCTGACGGCAACTGCCCTATCACAGCACCTGCTGAGGGGCCGCCTCCTCCCCTCGGAAGGCTCCGGCCAGCCTGGACGCGGCCTCCAGTGTGTTTCGGCAAAGACGAGCCGACGGTGCGATGATGTCGTGCGGAGAGAGCGAGTCAGGAGCGTGTTCAGCCCGTCAGAGTTATGAAGAGGCAGAAACTGATGGAGAGAGGAAAACACAGAGCAGAAACGAAGAGAACCGCGGATGGCAGCAAAGAGAAACAGACGTCGCGGCGAGAAGCAGCAGAGCCTGAGCCCAGGGATGGCTGGGAGGGCCAGCGGTGCAGCCGCGTGGTGCCCAGGGCTCCGCTACCGCTCCAGGCCAGGTGCGCCCTCCTCACAGCAGATCAGCCTCTGTAACCAAAAGGCTTGAGTACCAGCTCAAAACCATTCAGGTGCTGGGACTAGCACATGGCATAGTTGTTAAGGCACTGGACTCCCATATGGCTGACCGTGGTTCGAGTCCCGGACTGGGTGCCTATGTGAGCATGCCCATCCTGCCTGCCCAGGGCAAGGGGTGGTGCCTTCTCACTTTCCCTGTGTCTCTGGTGAGTGCATACACCTATGACAAAAACCTTAAAAAAATAATCATATAAAGAGGGGCCAGCAGGTGGCATAGTGGTTAAGGGTGCTGGACTCACACATGGCTGACTGCAGTTCGAGTCCCAGACCTGGCAGCTCACCTTATCTTTTTTTCTTTCTTCTTTCTTTTTTAACATTTAAAAAAAACAATTATTGAATTAATTTTATTTCATTTTCCCAGGGAGAGACACAGAGAGTGAGAGAGAGAAAGTGAGAAAGTGAGCCACCAGGTCTGGGACTCAAACCATGGTTGGTCATGTGGGAGTGTCCAGTGCCTTAACCACTATTCCACCTGCTGGCCCTCAATTTCTCCCATTCGGCCCCTCCCGTGCCACTCTGTCCCTCTCTGGTCAAATTAAAATAAATAAAGTTAAATGAGATAATTCTAAAATAAATAAATATGAAGAAAGGAAGTCATCTGGGTGTTGGCGGAGAAAGCCCGACTGGCAGGGGCCACAGGAGAGGTCACCTCCTTTGGGTGGAGGCTGGACCCGAGACCTCTAGAGACCGTGTCGCTCAGCCGGTCTGTGACCTGTGACTTCAGTCGTCATCCTTCTGCGCTTTGTTACATTACATTCATGAACTCACTTCCATCATCCTGCCCAGTTAGCATCACAACGCCTTGACGGTGCAGCGGGGTGGGTAAGAAGGAAGTGGTTCAGAGCCTGGGCGGCAGAAGAGCGCGCAGGGTTACATTTACAGTGAGGAGACCGAGGTCAAAGAGGTTAAATCTCAGGGTCAGGGGCGTTCCACTAGTAAGAGACAGACCTACGAGTGGCCGGTTAAGTGTTTCCTGTAATTTTCTAGAACCTCTCCTTGACTTTGCCGTAAGCCCTTGGCCCCAGACATGCCAGGCAGGACACCGTGCTGTGGAGAGACCCAGAGTACCCATGGCTGCCTCATGGCCCATTCCCTCCTTACCCAGGTGCTTCTGCAGGAACGCCAACATGGCCCGCACCATGACCTCCTGACCTTCATAGGGGTCCAAGCTCCCACGGTTTTGAGTGGAGAAAAATTTACCAATCAGGTTGCCAGTCACAAAAGCAAAGTCAGTTTGACTCCGATGAACAGAACCACTAGAGGAAAAGAAAGACAAATCAGGTGGGGCCCGGGGGCTGGAGCACGCAGATTCACGCTCTGCACCTCCGTGCGAGGTGCCTGCCCGCGTCGGCACACTGACGGTCATGGCAGCTTCGTACGGGAAGTACTCTCCCCTCTGCAGGATTCAAGGAGACCATCTGCCCACGGAGACGCCGCAGGGGCGGGGCCGGCTTCAAAGCTGGTTCCACTCCTAGACCGCAGTGTCGGACGGTGCGGGGAGAGGGCTGAGCCAGCGGAAGGGAGGACGAGGCAGGACGCGAGTCCCCAGCACCTGCTGCTCCTGTCATTGCAGCCACGGCGGCGCGGCTTTCGCTCCTGACCTCGAGCACTCACAAAGCCGTATTAGCTCCTTCAGACCTGTACACCACAGGGTAAACTAAACAGGGGAGGGAGCTTCTGGGTTAGAACCTGAGTTGGTACTAAATATACTCACTTTGCAGGTAAACTGCTTTATTTATTTATTTATTTATTTATTTATTTATTTATTTTGGAGAGGTTTTTGCTATAGGGCACGTGCACTTGCCAGAAAGACAGAGAGAGACAGAGAGACAGAAAGTGAGAAATCATCCCCAGGGGGGCTGGCCACACCGCAATCCCTTCTCCTCCATTCTCCTCTCGGGATCTTGGGCACACATGCACATGCACCGAGCGTGAGTTTAAGCCACTGGGTCCGGGACTTGAACTGCAGTCAACTACCTGGGAGTCCAGCAAATAGCCATTATGCCAACTGCTGGTCCCTGTAGGTAAAATTTTAACTGGGTTCATTGAGCTGACATACTTATAACTAAGTCAATGCAATGAAGAAGGAAAGTCTAAATACTAAAGTATCTGTCTGAGAGTATACAGAAAAAATAGATTTTTAAAAAATGCATTTATTTAGCCAGCAAGTAGTGTTGTAGTTGGGGCAGCTAGATCCCTCCCACATGGCCAGAGATGGGCAGTTCTGAGTCCTGGACCCTGTGGCTTGCAAACCATGCTGGGCACATGTGCTCACATATGCAAAGCCCTAAGAGGAGAACAGAGAAGGTATTGTGGTGTGGCCATCCCCTGGGAGATGCTTTCTCACTTTCCCACTTTCTCTCTCTCCAGTGAGCACACATGCCCTTAAGCAAATTAAAACAAATCCATTCACTAAAAAGAAAAATAGAAAGTGCATTGTTTAAGCCAGGCTTGGGGTTATGCACCTGTTATCCCAGCTACTTGGGAGGCTAAGTCAGGAAGATTGCAAGTTTGAGACCAGCCTGGGCAGCCTAGTAAGAACCTATCTCTGGGGGCCAGCAGGGGGTATAATGGTTGCATCGCTGGACTCCCACATGGTCAACCATAGTTTGAGTCCTGGACTTGGCAGCTTAAAACTCGTGCCAGGTGCTGGGACCAGCAGATGGCATAATGGTTAGGTTGCTGGACTCCACAGTTTGAGTGCCGGAGCTGGTGGGTTAAACTCACGCTGGCGTGTGTGCATGTGTGCCCAAGATCCCTAGAGGAGAATGGATGAGAAGAGACTGCGGTGTGGTCATCCCCCCTGGGGGGTGATTTCTCGCTTTCTGTCTCTGTCTCTTTCTGTCTCTCTAGAGAGTGCACATGCCCTATAGTGGGGGAAAAAAAAAAAACTCACGCCAGGTGCGTGTATGTGCATGCCCAAGTCTGAGAAGGGAATTGAGGAGAAGGGGCTGTGGTGTGGTCATCCTTTCTGGGGTGGGGGGGTAATTTCTTGCTTTCTGTCTCTGTCTCTGTCTCTCCAGTGAGTGCATGTGCCCTAAAGCAAAAGTCTCTCTCTCTAAAAAAAAAGAGACCCTATCTCTGGGGAAAAATTAGAAGTATTGGGGCCGGCAGGTGGAGTGGTGGTTAAGGACACTGGTCTCCCACATGGCCAACTGTGGTTCAAGTCCTGGACCTGGTGGCTTGCTTTCTCACTGTCCCTATCTCTTACTCTGTCCCTTTCTGGTAAATAAGCAAGTAAGTGGGACCAGCAGTTAGCGTAATGGCTTTGTCGCTGGACTCCCATGTAGTCAACCGCAGTTCAAGTCCCGGATCTGGTGGCATAAAACTCATGCCGGGTGTGTGTGCGTGCGTGCCCAAGATCCGGAGAGGAGAATGGAGAAGGGATTGCGGTGTGGCCATTCCCCCTGGGGGGTGATTTCTCGCTTTCTGTCTCTCTGTCTGTCTGGCGAGCACACGTGCCCTATAGCGAAAATCTCTTCCCCCTGCCCCCCCCCAAAAAGATCAGTAAGTAAGTAAATAAATAAATAAAGTTATTCTTTAATAAATAAATAAGGTTAAATAAAGTAATTCTTAAATAAACAAATAAATGCAAGCATCATTTAAGTCACAATAATAATAATAATAATAGTGAAAAGCAGGCTCACCCAGCACCAGCCCTCAGCCAGGAGCAACACACTGCCAGCAGCCAGAGCCTCTCTGTACACTCTTCTCACCTCTGTCCCCTGCCTTCCCTGCAGGTCACGGCTTCCTGCTTCTGGCTGACCTGAGGGTGACTCAAGCAGTCCTCCACGACACCACAGCGAAAGGGAAGGGCCGGCCCTGTGTGGCTCTGAAGCCTGCTGCGTACAGCCGGCATTGCTGCCACAGAGCTGGGCCCCTGAAGCCCGTGTGCACTCAGGCCCGCGGGCACGGCTGGGACGAGCAGCTCAATACCACGGCACAAGCCACATCTCTTCTCCTTTTTTATTTTTTTTAAGGTTTGCCATAGGAAATGTGCGCTTGCTGGAGAGACAGAGAAAGAGAGACAGTGAGAGGGAAAGTGAAAATCACCCCCCAGGTATGACGGCCATGCCGCAATCCCTTCTCCACTCTCCTCTCAGGATTCTGGGCAGGTGCGCGCACACACACACGTGCGATTTTCAAATGTCCAGGTCTGAGATGCAAACCGTAGTCAGCCACGTGGGAGTCCAGTGCCTTAACTACCATGCCATCTGCTAACCCCCGTATCACATTTCTTAAAGTCACTAGAATTTTTTCGCTGGGAAAAATGGCTTCCAAAAGAAAACCGACTGAAAGGGCTCGTGATGGGAGTGAAGAGAATGTGGTCTCTCTTGGCTAGAATACACGTGTGAGTTTAGGTAATACAGGTCTCCAGAACCTGCCTGGCGAACGCCCACACGTCTACTACAGAGCCACTGTCACTGTTCACCAGACCCAGCACCACCCTCCCTCCCACGCACGCCCACGGCGCTGGTTCCCAGAAAGCATCAGGTGAGCCCTGTCAAAGTCATGAACTCCGAAGAAATGGCTGAAGTCGAGCTTAGTGGAGAGGAGGGACGGGAATAAGATTCCGAAGGGATTAAGATCTTGAAGTTCAGGAAGCATTTAGGTACTCTATTAGTGAACAGAAAGTTCTGGACAATCAGAAGAAGCGGAGGGAGCCACAGCTGAGCAGGAAACGGGGAGGACACCGGAACCGCCCTGGGGTTCACTCACAGGACGGTTATAATCCGAGACTGTTCGTGCTGGGCACATAACTTCTTCATCAAATTGATACTCTCCACGGTCTGGAATTTCTCAGTGTTGATAAAGAACACTGGGCCTCGGGCCTTGGGGTAAAAGTCACGCTCCAGAGGAAACATCCAGGCATCCAGAGCCACGGCACACCTGGAACGGGACAGACACCTGGAATGGCCGTGCCAGGGTACCCGAGCCAGGGCAGCAGGGAAGAGTGGAAGGGGTGCCGTTCTTCCCCTGCTGGGCTGGAGGCTCCCAAAGCCAGGAGGCGGGCGGTGGACCCTTCGGTTAGGAGCTCAGACAGGGACCACTGTGCCCTGTCACCACGGGTCCTTCTAGATTGTACAGGCCTGAGAGTGAAGAGCAGCTGCTTGTCCTGGATCTGCCCTCAGGGGACTGCCGGGGTACCCTGATGGTACGTCACGTTCAATGACTGGGGTGCTCAGTGCTCACCAATGCCCACCGTGCGCTTAGCTTAGCCCTGAGCTGCAGACAGAGGTCCAGGACACAGCCCTGCTCCCGAGGGTCTCCCAGCCCAGCAGGGGAGACGGACAGACAAGGGAACACAGCAGTAAAGGGGCCGACTGGAGGCGAGGTGGCTAAGGTGCTGGATCCCAAGTGGCTGACTGCATAGTTCCAGTCTCGGACCTGGCAGCCTGAAATACACACTAGGCACGTGTTCCTGTGTGCCCAAAATCCCTACAGGGGAACGGAGAAGGGACTGCAGTGAGGCCATCCCCCTGGGGGGTGATTTCTCACTTGCCCTCTCTGTCTCTCCAGCGAGTGTATGCGCCCTAAAGCAAAGAACAAAACTCAGAACAGCACAGCTTAGCTCCTGATCACATGGGTGCAACGTGAGCCCACAGCAGAAGCGGCAGTGGAGGCAGGAGAAGCCTTCTTGGTGCCAACACAAACCTGCTGGGTGGCCAGAGAAGTCATGTGGCATTTTCCTGCGTTTTCTGTGCAACGATGGGTCATGGCTTTTCCGACAGCCCAGGAGGTCACCAGGGTGAGGCGCTGGCTTCGGGGCTCTGTGCCCAGCACACCTTTAGGTAGCACCCTGCTGACGCCTTAGAACCTAGCTGCCCCACTGCCCAGTCTCCTCCACCCCAAGGGACAGTCACCCCCTCCCAATGATGGATATACACATAAAAACATTTGATTTCTCTCTCCTTCACCTCGCACATCATGAAGCCTGGAAAACCCTAAAATGGGATTCAGCTCCCCGCCCCCCTCACCTTCACTCTAAAGTAGCCTCCCGAGAACTAACCTCTACGGTTTCAGGCCTGCCCTGCGGCGACCCATTCTTTACACAGTAGCCAGAGGGGGCTTTTCAAATGTAACATTGATTCTTCTCTGCCTAAAAAACTTCCACGGGTGAGACTGACAGGTGGTATTGTGGTTAAGGGTGCTGGACTCCCACATGGCTGACCAAGGTTCAAGTCCCGAACCTGGATACTCAGAAATACAAATTTGGGAGCCATATCCTCACATATGGAATTGACCACCCAAGGGTAGGGTGAGGAGAAGGATAAAGATGGCACTCTAGGGACTAGCATGTAGCATGATGGTTGAGGTGCTGGATTCTTACATGGCTGACCACAATTTGAGTTCTGGACCTGGCAGCTTGCTTTCTCACTTTCCCTTTCTCCCTCTGTTTCTGCCTGGTCGAATTAAATAATAATAGCAAATGGAAGTAAATAAATAAATAATCCTTTAAAAAATAATAAATAAAAACTTCCATGGGGCAACCAGTAGGTGGCGTGGTGGCTAAGGCGCTGGACTCCCACAGGGCTGACTGCAGCCTGAGTCCTGGACCTGGCGGCTTGCTTCCTCACTTTCCCTCTCTCGCTGTCTCTCTCTGTGTCTGGTGAGTACATGCACCATATAGCAAATTTAAGAATAATAATTTTAATTATAATAATAAATAAAATTAAATTTAAAATTCTTAAAAAAAAATTCCATGGGGCCAGGTGATTATGCAATAGTAAAGTAACTGGACCCCCGGGGTCAGGTCCCAGATTCACACCCCAGAACCCTCCTGAGCATGCTGGGCACACAGAGTCCCCCAGACGGTCCCTGAGTACCAAAGACTAGACAGTGAAAGTACTGCAAGAACTGACAGGGGCAGGTCATGGAAACTCACCGGAACTGGGTCTCCTTGGCCAAAGCCAGAATAGCTGTGGCGCCTCCAAATGAATGTCCCATCACGGCCACACGGCTCACGTCGATGCTGCCCTGGGGAAGCAGAGAGCTCGGCCAAGTCAGAAACTCGGAGTGCTTTCTAAATTTAATTTATCCATTCATTTATTTTAATTTGACCAGAGAGAGACACACACACACACAGAGGGAAAGTGAGAAAGCAAGCCACCAGGTCTGGGACTCAAACCGTGGTTGGCCACATGGGAGTGTCCGGCACCTTAAGCACCACACCGCCTGCTGGTACTAGGACTGCTTTTTAAGGAATTCCTCAGGGGCAAGAGGAGGAAGCAGTGAGGCAAGGGGGCCAAAGGCTCGCTATCTAGGGAGCCCAGCAAAGCCTCACTACTAAGCACCCCCTCCTAACAGAGAGCAGCCAGGCAGGCACTCACCGGGCTAAGCAGCCTTCTCTAGGCGGGAGCTCCGAGAGCCGACTTCCTGCCTTCACTGTGGTCTCGCTAGAGCAACGGCTGGCCTGGTAGGTAGACAGCCAAACATCTACGAATAAAGGGAGGCTAGGCCATCGATCCCGCACTGACCCATCAGCCTACGAGCCTGTTCAGAGCTCTCCCGTCTCTAGGGCCCCTGCCTTCGAAACTGGTCGGAGGGCTGAGGACAGAACGGGGGGCTCCTGCTGCCGGTCCTCTTTGCTCTGGAGCATGGGCTGCTTTTACACAAACCAACCCAGGCTCCACTTCCTCTGTAGATATCCGTCCTGATTTTTATCCAAAGCCCAGGGGAGGAGAGAGTGTCTGTTCGCTCTGACATGCTCCGCAAGTTATTTCTGGGTGTCCCCAGAAGCCTTCAGGGCATGGTTATGTAAAAGCACAGCAGCTGCCTGTGAAGAGGCTTGGGAGACTGTTCAGGCTTTACTGCCAGCCTTTGCTCTGGCCTGGCTCTCCTCTGCTCTCCCGTCCCAAGCCCAAGGATTTCTACCTAAACCCTCCCCGTTTGCATAGTGCTTAAGGTCAAAAACTGAGTAGAATGGCTTCTTTGGTTTTTTTATTGGAGAAGTTTTTGCTATAGGGCATGTGCACTTGCCAGAAAGACAGAGACAGAGAGACAGAAAGCGAGAAATCACCCCCCAGGGGGGATGGTCACGCTGCAATCCCTTCTCCTCCTGGGATCTTGGGCAAGCACACACACGCGCCCGGCGTGAGTTCTTTTTTTTTGAGAAGTTTTCGCGATAGGGCGTGTGCGCTCACCAGACAGACAGACAGACAGAGACATAGAGACAGAAAGCGAGAAATCACCCCCCAGAGGGGATGGTCACGCCGCAATCCCTTCTCCTCCATTCTCCTCTCGGGATCTTGGGCACGCACACACACATGCCTGGCGTGAGTTTTAAGCCACCGGGTCCAGGACGCGAACTGCGGTCGACTGCGTGGGAGTCCAGCGACATAGCCATTACGCTAACTGCTGGTCCCCGCGCCCAGTGTGAGTTCTAAGCCACCGGGTCGGGGACACGAACCGCGGTCAACTACATGGGAGTCCAGTGACATAGCCATTACGCTAACTACTGGTCCCGGTTTTATTTTTTTAAATAAGTTACTGTATTCAGATAGCTGTAAAATCAGAAGCACATAGAAAAGTCTCCCATCTATTCTATTTTCTCTTCCATAAAGTTGCCAAGCTCCTCCCCTAAACAGGTAACAGGTTGTCCTCTTTCCTTGCAGAGACTGCTTGTACATGAACAGGTAAACACGGAAATATTCTTCCCTCTCCTTTACACAAGTGGCACTGTACCACACTTTTTTGCATAACAATATAAGTATATAAAGAGGTTCCTTATCTTTATTTTTCTTTTTAAAGTTTTTGCCGCAGGATGTGTGCTCATGTCAGAGAGAAGAGTGACACAGAGGGAAAGTGAGAAATCGCCCCGGGGGGAGATGGCCGCGCTGCAATCCCTTCTCCGTTCTCCTGGGATTTTGCGCACACAGGTGGCATGATACTCCAGACACGAGATCTCGACCTCGAACCACGGTCGGCCGTGTGGGGGTGCAGTGCCCTGTAGCCACGCCACCTGTAGCTGTTTTTAGGGCTACATTTCACTTCTTCATGGCGTACTCAGCTAGGTGATCACCAGACCTATTTCTGGACAGAAAACTGGATCATTCCTCAAGTTAGATGCGGCCTCGTGACTAAAGCACAGCCAACAGAACGTGAGAAAAGGGGCATCTCCACTTCCAGGCCTGGTCCGTAGAAACGCCTGCTACAAACCTCCACGCTTTTCCCATTCTGTTGTCGCAGGGTGCACGGCAAATCTGGGACTCGCAAGGACAGAGCCAGCTGGAGCCATAAGACGAGAGGAGCAGGGGTCCCTCAGTTCTCTCTTACAGCCCGTGCACTCTACCTGCGAGAACACATTTCTACTGTGTGACGCCACGAGAAATGGCTTTACATTTTCAGCAATGAGCATTCTGCAAATACAGTCCGTACCTCATAGTCATCCCCAGTCCCCTCCTGGGGAACACCTAGGTTACACTGCTCGGTCTTCTCCTACAAACTGCACCAGGATGAGTCACCTTGTGTGTGCGCGCCTCGTGGAGGCAGTGCCCAGACCTGAGAACCGTGGGGTCGCAGAGGTGCATTTGTACCGTGGGTGGCTGTTGCTAAGCTGCCCTCCATGGGGCACTGTGCCCCATGGACAGTGAGGAAGAGGAACCGCCCCACAGCTCTGCCAACGGAGTGAGTAATCAGCTTTTGGGTCTTACCCAGTCTGATAGGTGAACATTTGCTCAGCTTTTTTTTTTTAAAGAGGTTTTTGCTATAGGGCGCGTGTGCTCGCCAGAAAGACAGAGAGAGACAGAGAGAGACATAGAGACAGAAAGCAAGAAATCACCCCCCAGGGGGGATGGCCATGCCCAATCCCTTCTCCTCCATTCTCCTCTCGGGATCTTGGGCACGCACGCACACGCGCCCGGCGTGAGTTTTAAGCCACTGGGTCCGGGACGCGAACCGCGGTCAACTATGTGGGAGTCCAGCGACATAGCCATTACACTAACTGTTGGTCCCAACATTTACTCAGCTTTCTCAATTCTGTATTTCTCCCCAAAGGTTGCCTCGTAGCTAATCCTGCCACTCCCAGTGCCTGTCGCAGGCTCACTGCCTGCAGGCCTGGACGTTGGTGACCAGGCCCCTGCTTGTCTGCCGGGCGTTGATGACAGCCACTGGATAGCTGGTAAAGTAGTCTGGATCCCAGGATCTGCCCGGGGACCAGACGGTGGCACAGCAATGGAACACGACACTGTGTAAGTCAGTCTCGCGTGGGAACATTCCCGGTTCCAGTCCAGAGACTTCCCTCAGCATGCTGGGCACTCACTTGCCCACGGTCTGGTGCTGGCTAAGGCTGGGGTAGGTTGCAGCGTGAAGACCTTGCTGGGACTGTTGTCTCCATGCCTCTGTGTGTGTGTGTGAGAGAGAGAGAGAGAGACAGAGAGAGAGAGAGAGAGAGAGAGACTCTCACTCACAGAAGGAAGAAAGAAGCTTTAAAAATATTTAAAAGATATTTTCTCTCTCTCTGTCTCTCTCTTTAAAAGAACTATTTATTTACTTTTATTTATCCATTCATTTATTTTTGACAGAGAGAGACACACAGAGAGAAAGAGAGAAGGGAAGTGAGAAAGCAAGCCACCAGGTCCAGGACTCAAACCGTGGTCTGCCATGTGGGAGAGTCCAGCACCTTAACCACCACACCACCTGCTGGTCCCCATCTCACTCTTTTTTTTTTTTTAATTGCGAGAGGGTGTATGTGCTTATGAGAGAGAGAAAACCATGCCTCATCAGGGCGTGGTCATGCCACAATCCTTCTCCTGTTTTTCCATCCTGTCAGGATTTTGGACAGACATGCACATGTGCCTGGTGTGTTTTAAAAGCACCAGGGCTGGGATGCAAACCATGGTGGGCCATGTGGGATCTGGCTCCCAATACATAGTGCTTAACCACTGCACGATGGGGCCAGCCCTAAAAATATTTCTTACAGGGAACCAGCAGTTAGCGTAATGGCTATGTCGCTGGATTCCCATGTAGTCGACCGCAGTTCGCATCCCGGACCCGGTGGCTTAGAACTCATGCCGGGCACGTGTGCGTGTGTGCCCAAGATCCCGAGAGGAGAACGGAGGAGAAGGGATTGCGGCATGACCATCCCCCCGGGGGGGGGATTTCTCGCTTTCTATCTCTATGTCTCTCTATGTCTGTCTGGCGAGCGCACACGCCCTATAGCGAACACCTCTCCAAAAAAAATTTTTTTTTTACAGAGCATCTGGGGTGCAGGTCTTAGGACTAAAAAGACCCAGAATCTACCACTTACTTAGCTGAGTGATCTTGGGTAGATACTTAGCTTTCTTCATTCTACATAAAGAAGTCATAATGATATTTCAAAAGATTATGAGAGGTGTTCTTACCTGTAAGTACTCAGAGCAGTAATTGTTTATATATGTATGTATGACATATATACACATCATACTCATACCATGAAATATTAGTAATCATTAATAATATATGGCTAGTAAAAGTCATGTCACAGAATATACTAACATGAAAAAATACTCATACTGTTTTATTGAAAAAAAAAAAAAAAAAGCCCTGGGACCAGCAGATGGCATAATGGTTATGTTACTGGACTCCCATGTAGTTGACCGCGGTTTGAGTTCCTGGACTTAGCTGCTTAAAACTCACGCCAGGCATGTATGCATGTGTGCCCAAAATCCAGAGAGAGGAGAATAGAAGAGAAGGGATTGCAGCCTGGCCATCCTCCCAGGGGTTGATTTCTCACTTTCGGTCTCTGTCTCTCCAGTGAGCACACGAGACCTATAGCTCTCTTTCAAAAAAAATAAAGAAAGAAAAAGAAAGAAAGAAAAAGAAAAGAAAAAAAAGTCTGTAAGTTTGAATTAAATGTTGTTGCTTTAAAAAAATCATATACATATATAGATATATAAATAGATTAGTGCTTTTTTTTTTAATTAAAAAATTTTTTTTTCTGGGACCAGCAGTTAGCGTAATGGCTATGTTGCTGGACTCCCATGTAGTCGACTGAGGTTCGAGTCCTGGACCCAGTGGCTTTAAACCCACGCTGGGCGCATGTGCGTGCGTGCCCAAGATCCCGAGAGGAGAATGGAGGAGAAGGGACTGGGGCGTGGCCATCACCCCTGGGGGGTAATTTTTCGCTTTCTGTCTCTCTGTCTCTCTCTGTCTTTCTGGCGAGCACATGCACTCTATAGCAAAAAAACCAACCAACCAAACAAACAAAAAACAACCTCTCCAACAACAGCGACAACAGCAAAACTTTTCCTTTATTCATGATAGAGTATGTGTGCATGCACGTGAGAGTAACATACTGGGTTGCTGGAAAAGTCACGACACATTTCTACATAGAAAAACATAGGGAAGAAATACGTCATGACTTCTCCAACAACCCAGTGTGTAGAGAGGAAGAGAGGTGAACGCTTTCCACAGGGTCTGGTCAGGCCACGATATGCCCCCTCCAGCCCTTTGGGTCCTGGGTACACATGTGCGTGTCTGGTGTGTTTCAGGCTGTCCAGTCTGGGGATTTGAACCGTAGTCACCATGTGAGACCTGGCTTCTGGTTGAGCAGTGCATTACCACTGTTCCATGGAGTGACCCCCATATTAATGCACTTAAAAAGAACTGAACAGGGTCGGATGGAGGCACAGTGGTAGTACCTTCTGCAATCCTGGAAGCCACATGGAGATCAGGGTCTGGTTCCTGGCTGACTTGTGTATACTGGGTCTGCATGGAGTCCTATGACCCTGGCTGGCTAAAAAGGCCTGGGGGGACTGTGGTGTGAGGCTGTGTTGAGGGTGCTTCTCTTATCCTGCCATCTGTCTCCCTCTGTCCTGAAATAAATAAAATCCCCCCCACCCCCGCAAAAAGACTGAATGAACAAATGAACTGGAGGGCCAGCAAGAGATGTGGTGGTTAAGGTGGTAAATCCCACATGGCCAACCACGGTTTGAGTCTTGAACCCGGTAGCTTGAAAATCACGCTGGGCACATGTGCGTCACGTGCGTCTCCTCCCAGGAGGAGAATGGAGGAGAAAAGACTGTGGTGCGGCCAGCTACTCTGGGGGTTGATTTCTCACTGTCTCTGTCTCTCTTCGGTGAGCATACTGTGTGAAAAATCTTTTAAAAAAGGGGGGCGGGTGCAGCAGGTGGCGTGGTAGTTAAAGGTGCTTGATTCCCACATGCTCGACTGTGGTTCAAGTCCCAGACCTGGTGACCTGCTTTCTTGCCTTCCCTTTCTCTCTTTGGTCAAATTAAAAAATAACAACAACAAATGGAATTAAATATTTTTTTTTTTAAGGAGGGCCAGCAGATGGTGTGATGGTTAAGGCACTGAATTCCACATGGCCAACTGCATGGTTTACATTCTGGACGCGGTGGCTTGAAAAACGTGCTGGATGCATGCGTGTGCAGGCCTAAAATCCTGAGAGAAATGCAGGAGAAGGGAATGCGGTGTGGCCGTCTGCTCGTGGAGGGCGATCTCTCCCTCTCTCCCTCTCTCCCTCTCTCTGTCTCCGGCAAGCACACAGTCCTATAGCAAAAAATTAAAAACAAGAAAGAATAAAAAGAACTGGAAAGACACATCAGAATGCCAAAACAATTTTTTTTTTTTTTTAATTTTAAGCTACCCTCTTAGTCTAGTGGTTAAGGGACCCGGATCTCACCTGGCCAACTGAGGTTCAAATCCTAGTCCTGGAGGCTTAAAGAATGCACCAGGCGTGTATGCGTGTGTGCCTAAGCTGTCACCAGGATGAGGAAACGGAGAAGAATGGGTTGCAGCATGACCGGCCACCCCTGCGTGTGCTTCCTTCCTCTCCCCCTCATTGTCTCTGTCTCTCTCTGCCAAGCACATGCACCCTCTGGTAATTAAAAAAAAGTTTCTTTATACTCATGCTTCTGTGTGAGTTCTTGGTTCTCTGAGCAGACCCCGAGCTACCTATGAAATAAGAGGGGCCACTCTGTGGTGCAGCTGGATCCCACAGGGCTGACTGCACAGTTCATGTCCCAGACCTGGCAGCTTAGCAAACATGCTGGGGGGGGCACCAGCAGGTAGTGTGGTGGTTAAGGCACTGGACACTCTCATATGGCCGACCATGGTTCAAATCCTGACGTGGTGGCTTGCTTTCTCACTTTCCCTCTCTTTCTTTTTCTCTCTAGTCAAATTAAAATAAATGAATAAATAAAATAAATAAATTTTAAAAATTAAAAAAAAAAACATGCTAGGTACATGTGTATGCCCTGTGCCAAAAATCCCAAGAAGAGGGAGAGATGGAGGAGAAGGAATTCGGTGTGACCACTCCTCATGGGGAATGCTTTCTCACCTTCTCTGTCTCTCTCTCCAGCAAGTGCATGTTCCTGCTGGCATATTTAAAAACAGAAAAAGAAAGTAAGAGGAAAAATGACTGAGCGAGGGTAAGTGGAGGATGTACCGCCAAAGGCACCAAATTCCACAGCTGGATGGTCTCGTGCTGCGATTCCGCAAAGGAGGGAATTAGTTGGGGTGGACAGACTGCTGGACGCTCAGTAGCCCTTACTCTGGGAATGAACCATCTCCCCTTAGCCACGTGGCCCTGATGGGGCTGTCAATCGCTAGAACCTTGGCCAGCTAGTCCCACAGACAGAGACTGGCCGGAAAGCAGGGCCTCCCCACGTTAGGGAACTAACAGAGCTTTTCTTTTTAAATCTGGAGCTGTAGATTGACATGCAGGCTTGCACCGGCAGTAACCGTTCTCGCCTGAAGGAAGTCGTCTGGTGAGGATGAAACCCACATAAACGGAGAGAAACTCAGCCAGGGGGAGGGAGAGGAGAGCGCCAGAACTTTGATAATCATAGAGACCCTGGACTGGCCTAAGTCTGCCTTCGGTCTTCCTACTCACGTGGGCCAACAAGTTCTCATTTTTTTTTTTTTTTTTGCTATAGGGCGCGTGCGCTCACCAGACAGACAGAGACAGACAGAGAGATAGAAAGCGAGGAATCACTCCCCAGGGGGGATGGGCACGCCGCAATCCCTTCTCCTCCATTCTCCTCTCGAGATCTTGGGCACGCACGCACATGCCCCCGGCGTGAGTTTAAGCCACCGGGTCCGGGACTTGAACCGTGGTCAACTACGTGGGAGGCCAGCGACATAGCCATTACGCTAACTGCTGGTCCCAACAAGTTCTCTTTTGATTCAAGGTAGTGAATTAGATTCTGTCCCTTGTAGCACAGAAAGATCTGATGAAGACATGGGCGTGGGGTCATCCCAACTGCTGCCATACCTTCCAGGTCGTCAGCTCCAACCCTCCAGGCAAGATGTTGAGGACGGTCTGCCCAGCAGTGACCTCCTGCAGGATCTTCAATACTCGCATACACTCCCTTACTCGCTGATGTACCTGCAACAGAGACAGCCCCGGTGGGACCTGGAAAACTCCACAACCATCCATGAGGATCTCACTCAGTTACAGAGCCAAGGAAGAATGCAGGACAGTTTGTCTGCCCGCATCTCAGCAAGCACTGTGGGTCCCATCTGAGAAAGGCTCAGCTCCCTTGCAGCTCACAAAAGCACCACGAACCGCACAAAGGAGGCGGGTCGGATGTTCAGACTCTCCCTACTTACCCGTGGGTTGTCAGCATCAAATGAATCTATGAACGCATTTTACAAACCAAAGGATTAAGAGTGTGCTCACCACCAAGCTAGTGCTGGGTTCGATGGACACTTCCCAGTTTGTGGCACACGCCTTCTGTTGTTGCCTGCCTAGACTTAGCCCACACTGCCTCTTGTGAGCTCTGCTCTTGTGGCTTGCCCTCCCCTGACAAGTCTATCGATGTGGTTCTGGTGAGAGCCTCTCATTTTGGCACCTCTCCCCAGGTCAGGAATTCCTCTCCAGGATTTCTCAAACTGCGGTTCGGCACAGAGGTTAGGGAACTGAAGAAGCGACTCCAGCTGGCCCCATCCTCTGAAGATGAGCTGGACAGAGGCAAGCTCAGAGCTGTCCAGAGCGGTGGGTCTAAGCGCAGAAGTTAAGCCAGTCTGCAGATGAGGCCGACCGACCAAGAGTTAAGAGTGAAGAGCAAGTCCTCCCGGCAGGAGTCTGGTCCCTCCGTCCTGCTCTTCCTCCCTGTGGCCCATCTATGTGAGCCACTCGCCTGAGCAAGCTTAAGCTGGGCTTCTGCCACGGGCACCCCATTTATTGCAGTGATGTGCCAAGTTCAGACCTTCTATGACTCAGATCCCAAGACATAGCTAGTTCGGTCTTGCTTAGTGAGTCCAGTACAGAGAGCACAAGCTTCTGCTCCCCCCTCCCCCCCATTTGGCACAGGCCTACCTGAGGATTCCGGACGTGGAATTCCTTCTCCCCTTCCTCAATTCGACGGTAAGGGATCCATTCTTCCTCCAGGGACTCGTTAGTGAGCTGGTTCTCCTCCGGGGCCTGCTTGCAGAAATAGGTAGCTGCAGCGGACTGATCCCTGAAATGCACACGACATCCGTGAGAAACTGGAAGACACTCTTGAGCTTATTTCTGCCCTCTGCCAGCCAAGACACTCTGGATTACCTTCTGGGGAGCGGAGAAGATGATCTGGGGCACGCAGGAGAGCAGAGAAAACAAAGACTCTACAGACAGGCGTGGGTTTGAATCCCAGTTTGACTATATCACTCTTGGCAAGTTACTTAACACTCTGAACCTTGGTCTTCTCCTCTTTAAAGCGGGTACAGGACCAGCAAATGGCATAATGGTTACGTTGCTGGATAGTAGTCGACTGCAGTTCAAGTCCCAGACCTGGCGGTTTGAAACTCATGCCAGGTGTGTGTGTGTGTGTGTGCGCGCGTGCCCAAGATCCCAAGGAGAATGTAGAAGGAACTGCAGCGTAGCCATGGCCCACAGGGGATGATTTCTCATTTTATGTCTCTCTGGAGAGCACACATGCCCTATAGCAAAAATCTCCCTAAATAAGTAACATGGGTAAAATACCTGCCTTGCATGGATGTCAGGGGGATTAGAAATAACACAGCAGGAGGGCCTCGCCGGTGCCCGAGCACCACGGCACCCGATCCATGGCAGCTGACGCTGCCTTTCACCTCTTACCTGTGCTCTGGCACAGCAACCACAAAGCCATGGGAGGCCAGCTCCATGCAGAAGGCTGAATATAACGTCCTGGAGATTCAGAAAGAACAGGAAAGAGATCAGAAAAATAGCCCAGCGCCCACCCTGCTCCTCCCATTCCAACCTGGCTGCATTTGTGGCCCTCCCTGAGGAGCAGAGGAAGCTTTGTGTGCGGCAGCCCCTCCAGGGGCTCTCAGCCAGCAGAGCCTCTCTTGTAAGGCTCATGCCCCCTCCAGAACGTTTCTGCAAACTGCGTCACTCCACGGTGCCTTCCAGTTCCACACCACCATGGGGTCTGGCCAGCCCTACCCACCAAATAAACTTTAGATACTCCCATTGCTTTTTTTTTTTTTTTTTTGAGAGGTTTTCGCTATAGGGTACA